GATTGTCAAGGCATTCCTTTTTAAGTAATGTTTTGTATTATGTAAAGAGTAGCATGATTTCAAATCGCGTCCTCACACTCTCTGACTCCGGTGCCAAATGTGTGCAGGGCAACATTGTCAAGCTGTCAAATAGTGTCAAGTTGTCAAATAGTGAAGAACTTACGTGTGTAGAACTTAATGTTCCAATTACCCCTGTGGGTCTTGTAGATGGTATTGATCATGTTTTTTCATCTACTGGCGGTGAAAATGTGCCCAACAACCTAGCAATAAATATCTCGCAAAAATCTGATAGCTTGCCTTTTTTATGTCCCCCTTCAATAATAATAGAAGAAGGGTAGATTCAAATTCAAATTCTGTGTCAATACTTACCTTGAACATCCAATCTGTTCGCAATAAAATCAAAGAGTTTGAGGTTTTCTTGGAAAACTGCAACAGACCAGACTTAATCTTGCTCACAGAACATTGGTTAAAAAACTGGGAGCCTTTTCACTTGCCAAATTATTATATTGTCTCAAACTACTGTAGAGACTCCTCCAATGGGTATGGAGGTACAATTATTTTAATGAAAAAATCATTCTCTTTAAACTTCAATATGGAGGAGGTTGACAAGTATGACTTCTTGCGTGTGGAAAAAGAATTCGAATTTTCGATTGCATTTAACAGAAAACACAATTTGTATTTAATTTGTATATATAGACCTCCAAGAACAAATGCTACAGGTTTTTTAGTGAACTTAGAAACCATTTTATTGGATTTACCGGTTAATTGTAAGGTCATTTTGTCAGGAGATCTAAATATTAACTTTATTGACAACCAATCACCAGCTACTCTGGCATTAAAGGACCTACTGTGCTCTTATGGTTTGTCCATGCATGTTGACTCTCCTACCAGGGTAGCTGAAGATTCTGCTACTGTTATTGACTATTTTTGTACTAACTTATCCGAGAACGGGGTTAACTGTGAAATGGTTTCCACCCCTGGACTGTCAGACCATGAGGCATTGTTAGCCAACTTCTCTCTACTCTGCACAAAACAAAAAATACCCCAAAGATATGGCAGGGTTTTTTCAAGTCGGAATTTTGAAAGATTTAATACTTGTTCTTCCTTGGTGGACTGGGAGTGTGTGCTTGCTTCAGAAAAACCTCTGGAATTGTTCCATACACTGTTGCACAATACGTTTGCCAAGAGCTTTCCAGTGTGCAATATGAGAGCAAAAAAGCCCAAAAAAAACTGGATTACGAAAGGCATTAGGACTTCCTCAAGAAATCTTAAATCTTTACATTTCATCAAAAAGTTTGCCGATAGTCAGTATTTTATAAATTATTATAATGAATATCGGAAAATTTATAGGAAAGTTATCGGATCAGCAAAGTTACAATACTATCAAAATAGAATCTCTAATGCAAAAAACCCTTCAAAAGAGGCATGGTCCATTGTGAACGACCTGAGGGGCAAGCATAGCCATGCAGAAAAGTCAGCTGATATTCAGCCAAACATTCTAAATGAATTCTACTGTTCAATTGCGAAAAAAATTTCAGACAAGATAGAACCCGCCTTAGATCCCCTCAGTTATCTTAGCCATTCACACATCGATGAAACATTCACTTTAACAGAAACAACTGTAGAGGAACTTAAAAATCATAATCAGAGACATAAAAAATAAAAACTCTGCTGGAATAGACGAGATGTCTGTCAAAATCTTTCAAAACTTAAATGATAATAGTCTCTATGTGCTGTCACAGGCCATCAACAAATGTTTTGAGGTTGGTGAATTCCCCGACTCACTTAAGGTTGCCTTGGTGGTCCCCATACATAAAGGTGGCTCCTTCAAGGACCCAGCTAACTTTAGACCCATTTCACTTTTAAATACCCTGTCAAAAATAGTGGAGAAGGTGGTGAAGAATAGACTGACTGTGTTTTTATCACGTAACAATATAATTAGCGATTGTCAATTTGGATTTCAGTCATCTAAAAGTACTAGTGATGCTGTATTCTGTTTCCTGGAGCAATTGTATTTGAAACTGAACGATAGAGAGGTTGCAGCTGCGGTTTTCTGCGATCTCTCTAAAGCGTTCGATTGCGTTAGACATGACATACTCTTGAATAAAATGTATATTTATGGAATTCGGGACACTTCATTGAAATTCTTTACCTCATATTTATCAAAAAGGACCCAAATGGTTAATAACAGGAGTTCCATATCATCAGCCTTAGCAATTGACACAGGAGTTCCACAAGGTTCTGTCCTGGGACCTATTTTGTTTTTGATGTATGTTAATGACCTTTTTGAATTACCACTTGAGTGTATGTTCACTGGTTTTGCTGACGATACTACGCCCCTTTGGCACCATAAGGACCCACTGCTCTTGAAAGAGATTGTTTCTAATGACCTCCATCAAATAAAAGCATGGTGTGATTCAAATTTTCTAAGTTTTAATATTGAAAAAACCAAAGTTCTCAGTTTTAAATTTACATTTGATAATCTTCAACTTGGAAATCAGTCAATCGGTCTCAGTCAGGATACTAAATTTCTTGGAATTAATATTGACTGCAATTTAAAATTTTTCCAGCATATAATCAACTTAAATAAAAAAATTGCAGCGGGAGGCTATGCTGTACGCCAAACGTGCTATGAATTGGGTCAGTCTATGGCTAAGGCCACTTATTTTGCTCTTGTTGAGTCGCACTTGCGCTATGGAATTGCTTTTTGGGGGAACTGCAGTAAGTGTTTGTTTCAATCAGTGTTTACTCTTCAGAAACGTTCTGTTAGGTATATTTTTGGAGCAGGTCTCAGAGATCACTGCCGAGAATTATTTAGGAGGGGGGGAATGTTAACCTTAGTGGATCTCTTTATCTTAGAGACTGTCTGTTTAGTTCACAAGAGGTACCAGGGTACTACACATGCGCACTCCTATCCAACAAGGAACTACAACCTGATACCTTTGTCTATACCAAGGTTCTCTCTAACTCAGGATTCTCTGATTTATAAAAGTATACAAATGTACAATAAACTACCATTAAATTTAAGAACGGATCAAAATTATAAATCTTTTAGAAATAAGGTTAAAAGTTTATTGGCAGATAAAACATTTTATTCTCTTGACGAGTATTTTGATGACAACCTTTAACAGGATCTTGTGTCTGTATCGTGATGTAAGTGTCTAAAACTCAACTTTATGTTTTATGTTTTATACTACTTGTAGGACAGGGTCTACCTGATTTAGTAATAGATTCACAATGCCATAATAACTGATGTGTTCTAAATTTTAAAAATGTTACAAATTTATTAATAAGTACTGAATTTTTCTTTTATTGTTAGTCATTTTACCACTTGCTAGTGCCACTGCTGTAGTGTCTTTTTTACTTGTTATCTGTTCTTATATTTTATATTATTAAGGATGTTGCTTTGTCAATAGAATGTACTATAATTTTCTGACAATAAAGCATATTTGAAAAATTTGAAATTTGAAAGGTTATGTGACTTTGTGTGTAGACTTTCTGCCAAAGTCATTCATAATGAAATCTTCTATACCGCCCTTGTTACACAAAAAGTAATATTAAATTTGAAATAAAAAATTTCCCGCCAAAACAATGCTTCCATGATGGCTACATTTTTTGATGTCACGATTCTGTAAACAAACCTGTCAATAGGGAACTTGCAAGAAAAAAAAAATACAAAAGCAGTCCTTTACAATATTCTTCATCCATTTCGACAATTTTCACAAAAAGCAAACTTAAACACACTTGAATAACATAAAAATAGCACTGCGTCAGCAGGAGTTCGTTAACTATGTATTTGTTGTTTACAAAATCTTAACGTCACAAACGCTGTCATATTGAGATTTTGTGTTTTCGCGCTAAAGTTTTTGATTTGAATTTCAATAATTTTTTTTTCGTACAACGTATAAATTAAAATGGAAAAAAAGAAAACTATGTAATAACTGATCACTGGAAGTATCTAAAAAAAAATAATTTGAGAAATATGAAAATTCCCTATTAAATAAAAGAACACTAATACAGATCAAACGGCTAACTGATGACAAACACATTGACAAATATTCACATGATATTCACCACAGATTAATATTCACCTACAGTATTCACCATTCACAGTTCACAGATGACATTTGCTTGTGGCTTTGTATACTAACGCCGCATAGCTTTGGCAGTCATGAAGCTCCACACGTGTTATTTTCGAGACAGCTCCGAACGAACATTTTACATGGAAGTTTCCTATCTTTAGGACGGGTTAATCTGTGGGTGCCGTCATACAAAATTTTAATTAACTGGCATTTCCAAAATGTGAAATTTGATTTTAAGTGAACTGAGGGTATTTTCATCTCTTAGCAAGTTAGTAAATGCTGTGGTGGTAAGTGAAGTGAGATGAGATCAAAGGTCTGTTTTCACAGAAATTACAAGCCAATCAGAGGGTTTTTGATTGGTCCAATTTGCCAACAATCAGTTTCCTGACTCTTTTTAACCAATGAAATTTGTTCTGATTGGTTTGTGACTTCTGCGGAAACAGACCTTAAGTGAAATCCTCAGTAGAAAGAACACAACTATTTGTTCGAAAATTCAATGTTGCCAAACCCATTTTCCCTATAAATTGAAGAAATAGTTCATCTTTCAAAGTGAGTTGAAATTCAATTCCATAAAGAAAAACTCAAAGTTGTCAAGGAGTTTTTATTTTAGAATTTCATTTCCTTACTCCTAAATGATTATTCTTGATATTATAATGTTGCCAAACTTATCATGATTGTTTTAAAATGCAATGTTGTCAAATTCATTTCCTTTTCCCTAAATAATTGCACCTGGTATCTCCTGCTTTTACCATAAAAATGTAGTTGCAGGTCGAATTGGTGCTAAATTGAAAATAGACATTTCATCGTTAGAATTTGCCAAAATATCCCATAAAGCATTTTCTTAGTGTAATGTCATACAGTTTTTTTTAATATATTTATTTATATACATATATTTTCAAATAATACAAATTCCTGTAGGTAAAAAGTATGAAGATATCTGTCCCTCTACACACAACATGGACGTACCTCACGTCAAACGCGAAGACTATCAGCTGACCGACATTTCCGACGACGGCTACTTATCCCTAATGTCAGACAACGGCGATTTACGCGAAGATTTGAAAATTCCAGACGGCGACGTCGGCTCTCAGTTGCGCACCGAATACGATGCTGGCAAAGATATATTGTGTACCGTACTCAAGTCTTGTGGCGAAGAGGTAAGTTTTTCTATTACAACATGCACCTGGTATCTCCTGCACCTTGTTTTCAATACACGTGCAGGTCGAATCGGTGCTAAATCAAACTTATGAGGCACATTCATCGTTGGAATTTGTTTTACTTATTAACTTAATCCTAGTTTGTTGCCTTACATTAGATTAAATACAATATAATAATTTTCTAATATTGTTTATTTTTTATTAGGTTGTAATTGCAGTAAAGACAAATACTGCCCTGGACAAATAATGGCATGGCGTAAAAGTGAGGGCCAGAAATAATAAACGGACGTCACTGTTCTTGATCCACCTAGCAGAGGTCCCTCGCGAAATTCCCCATCAAATTTTTACAATAAGCTATTATATTTGTATTGGACCAGCAGCGTTAACAGCTTAATGGGTAAAAGTCGATTGTCCTACAATTATTTGTAGGGTGTTCAATTTTTACAAAAAATTGTACTTTTATTTGTTGGCAAAACAGCTATAATTGTTCAATAAAAATGTAAATTTTTTTAATAATCAATTTTTTTATCTTGTGTCTTTTGCGGAATCGCCTCTTTCTGGCCTCCTGATCTTTTGGTAACTGGTTTATTTTTGAATAATTTCTGTTTTGTCCAGAACTGGGCGATTCTCCTCCTAATCTTGTTGACCTATGATTTAATTGAATAAAATATAACTTTTTTTTAAAGGACTCGTTTTGATATTGTTTAGGATAAGTTTGATTCAAGAAAAAAAAAAACAAGCAATAACCTTTGTTTTTTTGGGTTATGCAATACTATTGGTTGAAAATATAATAAAATTCCGTTTGATTGAGGACTTTTATTCCTACAAGCCTTATAAGTTAGGAAATTGAAGTATGGGGACTTTGAAGCGTCATAGTTGCATGATCATCGGAGCTGGATTTGTAGAGGATTTAATTGGCTCAGTAGCGTGTCAAATTTTTTGTGGCCCCCCTGCGAACTTTTTTTTGAGGCCCCCTATGTCACTATTATATTTTCCAAAAATAACCCATTATAGTACCTACCTAAATATTTATACATAATATCATTATCTAATAGTTAAAAAACACAGCGAATTTTTGAAGCTAAATTTATTTCTATAAATTATTATGTTATTATAATATAGGAGGGATGATTGAAAAGTTCTTAAAAAAATGTTCTAATACAAGGAAAACATACAACAAATATTTAACTAATAAGTACAAAGGTATGGAATTCACATTTTTTATGTTCGAAAGAAATGGTGACAAATTAAATGGATTTGAAATGTTTAAATGTGCATATTTGTATTTTTGGAGTTTGTTCGATATACATAGGTATTACTTTTTCTTAGAGTATATTGGAGGCCTCCAATATACCGGTGGCCCCCCCCGCGTGGCGGGGTCTGCGGGGCCGTTTGACACGCGCCTGAATTGGCTCCAATTTGGGTCTAATTACACTTGGATCGGATTGAAATTGACAAAGTTATAAGGTAAAATGGTTATCAATGTCAATGAAACTTCCATAAAATGATTTTGTGGCATCGCAGCTTCAAAACTATTGAAGCTTCATTGGACATTTGTAGAGGATTTAATTGGCTTCAATTCAAGCCTGATTACGTTGAAATCGGATTGAAATTAACAAAGTTATGAAGCAAAATGGATATCAATGTCATTTTGAGAAAAACTAAATTTCCAAAAAATGAATTTAGAGGCATCGTAGCTTCGAAACTATTGAAGCTGCATCGGAATTATCTATTAAACATTTGCAGAGGATTTAGTTAGCTTCAAGTCAAGCTTGATTACGTTAATATCGGATTGAAATTAGGAAAGTTGTAAGGCAACTTGGGTATCAATATCAATGTCATTTTTGGAAAAATCAAATTCCCATGGGGCATCGCAGCTTTGAAACTATTGAAGCTGCATTGAAACTATTCATTAGACATTTGTAAAGGATTTAATTGGCTTTAATTCAAGCCTAATTACGTTGGAATCGGATTAAAATTAACAGTTATGAGGCCAAATAGGTATCAATGTCATTTTGAAAAAATTAAATTTCCAAAAAATGAATGACTTGAGGCATTGCAATTTGGAAATATTGACGCTTCATTGAAATATTTCATTGTATATTTGTAGAGGATTGAATTGTCTTTAATTCAAGCCTGATTTCGTGAAGATCCGATTAAAATTAACAAAGTTCTCTCAAGTTTATTTCAAATTTGCCGCGTTTTTATTTGAAATGTGACTGGTCACTTGTATTATTCAAGGATACAAGCCAAAAAGGATAAATTCAATATGACATAGTGACGTCACTATACTTGTTTATATGCTACTACTGATTTTAATTATTTATCCAGTTATTATGTAATAATTAATTACTAGAAGAAAAACCTATAAGATTGAGGTTATATAAATAGTTCAGTAGTCCACTAGGTCAACAAACAAATTATGTTTCATTAGCCTCGAAAACTATGGTGCACCAAACCCGACCGCAGCCCCACGACAAGAACCTCCTATGGTCTGCCTTTCTGGTAAGAAGTCCCAAATTCCTATAAAATACATTAATTTAATCTATATAGGGGGGCGGAGCCGCAGGGCTATTCGTAGACGTGGTCCTTTTCCCTTTGGACACCCTAAAAACCCGTTTACAAGCTGAGCAGGGCTTCCACAAATCAGGAGGCTTTAGGGGGATTTACAAGGGATTGGGGCCCCAAGTTGTAGGAAGTGCACCACAAGGTCAATAATTACTACCAAAACAACCAACTTTATTAAATCTTAACTTATTTTAGCTGCCCTATTCTTCCTTACATATGAATCTATCAAAAACTATGCGGAACCTTTGGTTCCAAAAGGCGCAATGCCTTTAGTTTATATGTTTGGGGCTTCTGTGGCTGAAGTTGTAGGTAATAGATTATTGATTATATACCAAAGATATTTTATCTAAGGGTTTTAGATGGCTTGCCTTGTAAGGGTACCAATGGAAGTTGCCAAACAACGCAAACAAACCTCTTTAGTTGATAAAAGTGCCATTAAAATACTGTTGGCTGCTTACAAATATGAAGGGTTTTTCAAAGTAATTATAGCTCTGTTTCTGCAGAAATCACAAACCAGTCAGAGTGAATTTCATTGGTTCAAACTAGTTTCCTGACTGTTGTGATTGCTGCAGAAACAGACTTTGTATAAATTTGTTTAAAAATAATTATATATTTTTCAAAGGGTGTTTACAGGGGGTTTGGTTCAACGATAATGCGAGAAATACCCTTTTCCATAATACAATTTCCTACCCTGGAGTTTTGCAAGACTTTTTATAGGACCAAGTTTAAAAATAACATTCCTTTGGATTCTTGGGAGGTTGCTGTGTGTGGTTCAATTGCAGGTAAAATTTTATGAGTTTTTATATACAGGGTGTCAAGTGTGATTGTACATAAAAAAATTATAGGTGGTAGTACTTTATAACTTGCCATAAACTGTTTTTTAGGTGGTACTTCTGCAGCTATTACAACACCTTTGGATGTAGTTAAAACCAGAATTATGCTTGCTGATAGGAAATTGGTCAAAAGTGGTTCAGTAACGTTTTCGAAAACTTTTAAAAAGGTTTGGCAGAAGGATGGTATTAGAGGGTAAAGACATATGTCAAAATATATTAGCCAATATTTAGGTTTTGTTTTTAGATTATATGCTGGAGCAGTACCAAGGACTTTATGGATTTTCTTAGGGGGTTACATATTTTTTGGAAGTTATGATTTTACTAAGAATGCTGTGTATGAGATTTTAGAAGAAAAACGACGGTGACCCTTAATTGAATTGAGTAATTAGTCAAATAAATTGTTTTGTTAATTGAATTAGTTCCTTTATTTACTGTGTGGTGACTTTAAAGCGTTGTAGCTTTGAAATTATTGGAGCTGCATTGAAATTATTTATTAGACATTTGTAGAGGATTCAATTAGCTCTAATTCAAGCCTGATTAAATTAAGATTGGATTAAAATTAACAAAGTTATGAGACAAAATGTATGTCAATGTCATTTATTTTATTTTATTTATTTCGTTTATTTAGCAATAGCTAATCGTGCAACTTACATATATAAATTCACAAAAGTTATAATTAGTGTATAGTGTCAATTAAAGTAAACAATTTAAAAAAAAAAAAAAAAACAACGAACAATTCAGAACTATGAAAAGAAACATTAAAGGAGACAAACCGAAACAACATGAAAGACAAAATGTAATTTAAATTCAAAATACAAATGACAATCATTCCGAAAGACATAATAAAACTTGAAATTTCGTAAAAAGCAAGTCCTGAAACTCATACAAAATATGGCATTCGTTTTTCACTTCACAAAATACAAGATCAAGATACCGCAAAACAAAAGAAATTCAAATCAACAAAACTCAGATCAACAAGAATAAGCTACTCATTTGTGCTTTAATCTGGAACATATATATCACATTGAGTCAGCAGATGAACTTTTAATTTTCTTTTGAAATTGCCAATAGTAACACATGACTTTATTTCATCCGGTAGCTGATTAAACTCATTCATACCCTTAAAGAATACCGATCTTGTTGCTGATGCCCCACATCTATGTGGTATATAGAAGTTGTTCTGTTGTCTAGTGTTGTGATCATGCATCTGGCCGCTGTAAACTATTTTTCTTGTAAGATACAATGGAGCAAGTCCAATTTTAATTTTAAAAATAAACACCAGTACATTATATTTTGCATATTCCACAACTGGAAGCCACTGAAGCAATCTAAGCATACTTTTTATAGGAGTATATTTGTTACATGAGAGTATGATTCTCATACATCTATTTTGCAACTTTTGCAGTCTTTGGATATCATTCTGGTTAAGTAAATAAAGTATTGTTGCGCAATAATTGAAGTGTGGCAAAACTATAGTGTTAAAAACAACAATTCTAGACCTAGTTGAGAGAGATGCTGAACAGCGCCTAAGATAATTTGTCTTAAAACTAATTTTAGAAACCAGAATGTTGCAGTGATCTTTAAATTTTAATTTGTTATCAAGAATTACCCCAAGATACTTAATCTTTTGAACTTCTTCCAACTTGTTGTTACCCATTTCAATTGAATAGTTGTTCATATTAAAAAGACTTCTGTTATTATGTGTACCAATAAACATAAATTTAGTTTTACTAACATTAATCTTCAAAAGATTTTGGAGAAAGACCAAGGACTTACATAGTTTTTTGTAGGTAGTTATGATTTTATCCAAAGAATGCTAGATAAAATACTTTATTCTATATTTTATGTACAACAAACCTTAAACTACTAAATATTGTTTCAATTTCATAATAATATATAAAAAATATAAATAATAAAGGTAACTCTGCCTTATACAATAATTATTTTATAGAATACTTATAGCACCTCAACAAAATATAATATACAAAATTCAATAAAGCATCAACTGACAACCGCTTTTATTATGCTCAATAACTTCCAGCTTCAACAAACCCACAGTTTCCTTGAGCTGATTTACCATAGACCCAAGATCAACATTTTCATTTTTCAACAGCTTCACTTTATCCTCCAACTTGGAAATCCTCTCCAGTTTTCTGGACCTGCACTTGGAAGCTGCCAACCGATTTCTTTGCCTTTTCCTTTCCAGCTTCATTCTTTCTTGATATTCCATATCAACTGGAGACATTGGAGGGCTGTTGCTCATGTTGGGCACTATTTGAGGCTCTTCTTTGATTTGAGGCATAAAAGAGTCGTTGTAGATGGTGCTTGTATTACTATCAGAGCCTTGTTGAGAGTTGCTATTATGCAAGTTGCTCAAGGCTTCAACAAAACCTCCTGCAAATCTTTCTTGTTCAGCTGTGACGTTTTTTGGAAAAGGAAAACTTGGGGTTGGGGTGCCAGGCAAAGGATTGTCCAAAATCATGTTTTCCAATTCTGGAGTGTCAACTTTTAGTTTCATTAAGTCTGGAGAAGACAGGACTTCAGATAGATTGCCACCCTCTCCAGTTGATAGAGGAAAAGCCAAGTTTTTCTTGGCTTGGTTGAAGTCCAAGGTTAAGGTGCGTTTTAAGTTGCTGAGTTTGCTTTCGTTGAATTGGCTCATTTTAGTTGTTTTTGTAGAGCTCGAAGCCCAACCAGGACCACAATTTGAAGAAAAGGTAGACGGGCAAGATTACTATGGCCAAGAGGAAGTAGTAGGTGGTATCAGCTATTTCCATACAATCTAGAATTATTGTAAAATTTCAAGGTTTACAAACAAAAATATCAATTTGCTTACCACAATGTTGTATTTTATACACAAAATTATTGCACTTGCTCAATGTTATAATGATTGAAATCTCATTCAAATACTAAAAACAATTCACTTTTAGTTAAGGGATTTAAATTCCTTATTTTTCAATGAAAATTTACTACTAAATAAAACGATGACGTCAGTTTTTTTTAACAATGAACTATATGAATGAGTCATCCTTGGGGAATTCCTTCTAGGATGGTTGAGGGGTGTTGTTGAAATCACTCTGAGTGTGTTTGTGTCTTTTTCTACCAGCTTGTATAAAAAAGAGATAAACATAATTTTTTTTCTGCACTGGTTCTCTTCATTCAACCAACGTTACTCTTCTAGTAATATGTGGCAACGTTGTAAAAGTCAGCTGATTGTCAAAAATTTAAATGTCCTCAATTCAAAATTTATAAGTTTTTCACATTGTTTAAATAAATAATTATTTTATTAATAATAAATAATTGAATACAGTTGTATGAATTAAATTTAACATGGTTTTGACTAAAGAATACAGAATTTGTATGCCATTAACTGTAGAAGAAGTAAGTAAGTCTTATTTGATTTCTTTTTAACGAAAAATCGATTTTATTTCTATAAATATAAGTATAGGTCTTTAATTTAGCCTTGACACTCCCCTAAAAGCATTATAAAAATCGTTTTAAAATCGGATTGAAATTGATTGTATTCCAATTAATGTCAGAAATTAAATTATATTCAAAATCTAGAAAGTTTAAAGTGTCACAGCTTTGGAACTATTAAAGCGGTATAGTAAGTATTTGTAGAAAATTTAATTGGCTTTAATTTGAGCCTAGTTACGTCAGAATCGGATTGAAATTAACGAAATTGTGAGCCAAATTTGTATCAATGTCATTTTTAGAAAAATCAAATTTTCAAAAAATGTCTTTGAGACACTGCAGCTTTGAACTGTTGAAGCTGCATTGAAATGATTCATTAGACATTTGTAGAGGATTTAATTGGCTTTAATTTGAGCCTAGATACGTCAGAATCGGATTGAAATTAACGAAATTGTGAGGCAAAATGTGTATCAATGTCATTTTTAGAAAAATCAAATTTTCAAAAAATGACTTTAAGGCATCGCAGCCTCGAAACTATCAAAATTGCATTGAAATTATTCTGTGGACATTTGTAGAGGATTCAATTGGCTTTAAATTCAGCCTAATTACGTTAAGATCGGATTGAAATTAACGAAGTTGTGAGGCAAAATGTGTATCAATGTTATTTTTAGAAAAATCAAATTTTCAAAAAATGTCTTTGAGACACCGCAGCTTTGAAACTGTTGAAGCTGCATTGAAATGATTCATTAGACATTTGTAGAGGATTTAATTGGCTTTAATTTGAGCCTAGTTACGTCAGAATCGGATTGAAATTAACGAAATTGTGAGGCAAAATGTGTATCAATGTCATTTTTAGAAAAATCAAATGTTCAAAAAATGACTTTAAGGCATCGCAGCCTCGAAACTATCAAAATTGCATTGAAATTATTCTGTGGACATTTGTAGAGGATTCAATTGGCTTTAAATTCAGCCTAATTACGTTAAGATCGGATTGAAATTAACGAAATTGTGAGGCAAAATGTGTATCAATGTCATTTTTAGAAAAATCAAATTTTCAAAAAATGACTTTAAGGCATCGCAGCCTCGAAACTATCAAAATTGCATTGAAATTATTCTGTGGACATTTGTAGAGGATTCAATTGGCTTTAAATTCAGCCTAATTACGTTAAGATCGGATTGAAATTAACGAAGTTGTGAGGCAAAATGTGTATCAATGTCATTTTTAGAAAAATCAAATTTTCAAAAAATGTTTTTGAGACACCGCAGCTTTGAAACTGTTGAAGCTGCATTGAAATGATTCATTAGACATTTGTAGAGGATTTAATTGGCTTTAATTTGAGCCTAGTTACGTCAGAATCGGATTGTAATTAACGAAGTTGTGAGGCAAAATGTGTATCAATGTCATTTTTAGAAAAATCAAATTTTCAAAAAATGTCTTTGAGACACCGCAGCTTTGAAACTGTTGAAGCTGCATTGAAATGATTCATTAGACATTTGTAGAGGATTTAATTGGCTTTAATTTGAGCCTAGTTACGTCAGAATCGGATTGAAATTAACGAAATTGTGAGGCAAAATGTGTATCAATGTTATTTTTAGAAAAATCAAATTTTCAAAAAATGTCTTTGAGACACCGCAGCTTTGAAACTGTTGAAGCTGCATTGAAATGATTCATTAGACATTTGTAGAGGATTTAATTGGCTTTAATTTGAGCCTAGTTACGTCAGAATCGGATTGTAATTAACGAAGTTGTGAGGCAAAATGTGTATCAATGTCATTTTTAGAAAAATCAAATTTTCAAAAAATGTCTTTGAGACACCGCAGCTTTGAAACTGTTGAAGCTGCATTGAAATGATTCATTAGACATTTGTAGAGGATTTAATTGGCTTTAATTTGAGCCTAGTTACGTCAGAATCGGATTGAAATTAACGAAATTGTGAGGCAAAATGTGTATCAATGTCATTTTTAGAAAAATCAAATTTTCAAAAAATGACTTTAAGGCATCGCAGCCTCGAAACTATCAAAATTGCATTGAAATTATTCTGTGGACATTTGTAGAGGATTCAATTGGCTTTAAATTCAGCCTAATTACGTTAAGATCGGATTGAAATTAACGAAGTTGTGAGGCAAAATGTGTATCAATGTCATTTTTAGAAAAATCAAATTTTCAAAAAATGTCTTTGAGACACCGCAGCTTTGAAACTGTTGAAGCTGCATTGAAATGATTCATTAGACATTTGTAGAGGATTTAATTGGCTTTAATTTGAGCCTAGTTACGTCAGAATCGGATTGTAATTAACGAAGTTGTGAGGCAAAATGTGTATCAATGTCATTTTTAGAAAAATCAAATTTTCAAAAAATGTCTTTGAGACACCGCAGCTTTGAAACTGTTGAAGCTGCATTGAAATGATTCATTAGACATTTGTAGAGGATTTAATTGGCTTTAATTTGAGCCTAGTTACGTCAGAATCGGATTGAAATTAACGAAATTGTGAGGCAAAATGTGTATCAATGTTATTTTTAGAAAAATCAAATTTTCAAAAAATGTCTTTGAGACACCGCAGCTTTGAAACTGTTGAAGCTGCATTGAAATGATTCATTAGACATTTGTAGAGGATTTAATTGGCTTTAATTTGAGCCTAGTTACCTCAGAATCGGATTGAAATTAACGAAATTGTGAGGCAAAATGTGTATCAATGTCATTTTTAGAAAAATCAAATGTTCAAAAAATGACTTTAAGGCATCGCAGCCTCGAAACTATCAAAATTGCATTGAAATTATTCTGTGGACATTTGTAGAGGATTCAATTGGCTTTAAATTCAGCCTAATTACGTTAAGATCGGATTGAAATTAACGAAGTTGTGAGGCAAAATGTGTATCAATGTCATTTTTAGAAAAATCAAATTTTCAAAAAATGTCTTTGAGACACCGCAGCTTTGAAACTGTTGAAGCTGCATTGAAATGATTCATTAGACATTTGTAGAGGATTTAATTGGCTTTAATTTGAGCCTAGTTACGTCAGAATCGGATTGAAATTAACGAAATTGTGAGGCAAAATGTGTATCAATGTCATTTTTAGAAAAATCAAATGTTCAAAAAATGACTTTAAGGCATCGCAGCCTCGAAACTATCAAAATTGCATTGAAATTATTCTGTGGACATTTGTAGAGGATTCAATTGGCTTTAAATTCAGCCTAATTACGTTAAGATCGGATTGAAATTAACGAAGTTGTGAGGCAAAATGTGTATCAATGTCATTTTTAGAAAAATCAAATTTTCAAAAAATGTTTTTGAGACACCGCAGCTTTGAAACTGTTGAAGCTGCATTGAAATGATTCATTAGACATTTGTAGAGGATTTAATTGGCTTTAATTTGAGCCTAGTTACGTCAGAATCGGATTGAAATTAACGAAGTTGTGAGGCAAAATGTGTATCAATGTCATTTTTAGAAAAATCAAATTTTCAAATAATGTCTTTGAGACACCGCAGCTTTGAAACTGTTGAAGCTGCATTGAAATGATTCATTAGACATTTGTAGAGGATTTAATTGGCTTTAATTTGAGCCTAGTTACGTCAGAATCGGATTGTAATTAACGAAGTTGTGAGGCAAAATGTGTATCAATGTCATTTTTAGAAAAATCAAATTTTCAAAAAATGTCTTTGAGACACCGCAGCTTTGAAACTGTTGAAGCTGCATTGAAATGATTCATTAGACATTTGTAGAGGATTTAATTGGCTTTAATTTGAGCCTAGTTACGTCAGAATCGGATTGAAATTAACGAAATTGTGAGGCAAAATGTGTATCAATGTCATTTTTAGAAAAATCAAATGTTCAAAAAATGACTTTAAGGCATCGCAGCCTCGAAACTATCAAAATTGCATTGAAATTATTTTGTGGACATTTGTAGAGGATTCAATTGGCTTTAAATTCAGCCTAATTACGTTAAGATCGGATTGAAATTAACGAAGTTGAGAGGCAAAATGTGTATCAATGTCATTTTTAGAAAAATCAAATTTTCAAAAAATGTCTTTGAGACACCGCAGCTTTGAAACTGTTGAAGCTGCATTGAAATGATTCATTAGACATTTGTAGAGGATTTAATTTGCTTTAATTTGAGCCTAGTTACGTCAGAATCGGATTGAAATTAACGAAATTGTGAGGCAAAATGTGTATCAATGTCATTTTTAGAAAAATCAAATTTTCAAAAAATTACTTTAAGGCATCGCAGCCTCGAAACTATCAAAATTGCATTGAAATTATTCTGTGGACATTTGTAGAGGATTCAATTGGCTTTAAATTCAGCCTAATTACGTTAAGATCGGATTGAAATTAACGAAGTTGTGAGGCAAAATGTGTATCAATGTCATTTTTAGAAAAATCAAATTTTCAAAAAATGTCTTTGAGACACCGCAGCTTTGAAACTGTTGAAGCTGCATTGAAATGATTCATTAGACATTTGTAGAGGATTTAATTTGCTTTAATTTGAGCCTAGTTACGTCAGAATCGGATTGAAATTAACGAAATTGTGAGGCAAAATGTGTATCAATGTCATTTTTAGAAAAATCAAATTTTCAAAAAATTACTTTAAGGCATCGCAGCCTCGAAACTATCAAAATTTCATTGAAATTATTCTGTGGACATTTGTAGAGGATTCAATTGGCTTTAAATTCAGCCTAATTACGTTAAGATCGGATTGAAATTAACGAAGTTGTGAGGCAAAATGTGTATCAATGTCATTTTTAGAAAAATCAAATTTTCAAAAAATGTCTTTGAGACACCGCAGCTTTGAAACTGTTGAAGCTGCATTGGAATGATTCATTAGACATTTGTAGAGGATTTAATTGGCTTTAATTTGAGCCTAGTTACGTCAGAATCGGATTGAAATTAACGAAATTGTGAGGCAAAATGTGTATCAATGTCATTTTTAGAAAAATCAAATGTTCAAAAAATGACTTTAAGGCATCGCAGC